AGAGAAACGGGAATAAATGGGAATTTCAGGTGAATCAGAACAAAATCAGAGAGAATGAAATACACCCACACTGTCTGACTGAAATGCATCAATATGAGCTGACACACACACACACACACACACACAGGCAGGATTCAGAAAACACACGGCAGGAAGAGACGGAGCGAACATGCAGCAGCGACGGCGTCCACCAGCGCAGACATGCACATGCATGCGGAGAGTCGGAAAACGAAGCGATTCTCTCACACACACACACACACACACACACACACACACAGAGCGCGTTAGTCTGGCTTTGAAAAAGGCACGGCCTCTCAGTAGCAGCATCTACCTCTCCCCTCTCTCCATTGTCCTCTCCTCACATCCATAGCCAGCCAATGAATGGAGAAACAGCCGCTACCTGTAAATGAACCACACGCTCCTGTTTCTGGGGCCCAGTGATGGCCACGAAGAAGAGAGGGAGAGAGAGAAATCTCTCTCTCCGCATCCCCCCATCGCCATGTACCCCCCTCCTCTCTCTCTCTCCTCCTCTTCCTCCCCGTCTTCCAGTGAAAGCTCGCCCGGCAGAGAGAGAGAGAGAGAGAGTCTGCAAAGCTGCGTACTTCACAGGAGGAAGACGATGTGAGGGAAGATGAAGAGAGGAGGAGGGTTGTGTTGCTGAACTGCGACATCGGGCTGATGGGGAGCAGAACTGGGGGGCCGGCGATGCGAGGACTGGGCCGGCGCAGCTGGGATCTGACCTCATCTACCTCCAATTCAACAACTTTGCTTCAAACAGAAACACTAGCTGCATTTCCACTGAATAAAAAACTGCGTAAATGTGAATTATGAAAATAAATTTGTTTTGTCGAAACAAGCTGATTTCTACAAACTCACGTTTTTCGATATAAAGATTTTTGGGCCAGGATGAGGTAGTTTGTGTATCTGGAAAAACTGAAACAGAAACACTTCTTCTGCATCATAGAAGTCACATGATCAAAACCAGATGTTACTACTGCTGGAAACATCGAAGAAGACGACAGGAAGTGGTAGGAGGCCAATGTTTTTAATGACTTATTACGTGAGCAAACATTCAAATGCTGCAAACTGTGTTTTTGACATTAGCATAATATCAACAAACCTTTGACCAGAAAAGTGTGAAAATTGGAATTGCAAAAATAAATTTGCTTAACAGAACCTGCTAATTTTAAAAAAAACTATTTGATTACAGGTTTTTGCTGTAGGATGAGGCAGTTTTTCAGCCATTTTGAAATTCATGTATCCATCCATCCATCACTGCAGTGGAAACAGTTTTTTCATGTCACACAAGTCATGTGATCAACAACAGGATGTTTCCACTGGTGGAAACGACAAAGAAGACGACAGGAAGTGGTAGGAGTTGTATAATGACTTACTGCATGAGCATTAATGTGATCATGTCTGATTTTAATTGTGTTTCTTATTCAATATAAACACCACGATTGCAAAATTTTGTTTTTTCGATGTTAGTGGAATATTGACAAAGTTTTGTACAAATTGAAATGCTGCCAAACTGGTGACGTGATGTTTCCTGTTTTATCCTGTTTTCACTTCACATTGTTTTGGTTTTTTTGCAGTTATGAGCCCCGGTGGCGAAACATGAAGCTGCTGCTGTCCCAGTTACTCAGCAGGTTGTTGCTAGGTAACCAGAGAGAGTGAGTCGATTCCACCTACCAGGCTTAGCTAGCTGTGAGAGGTTTAGCCGCTAAAGTATTTGTTCTGCCTACATCTCCCAGAATGCCGCGTGGCTCTGGATCAGAGTGAAATTATTGAATATTGTATCAGATGTATTATCTCTAGATACTGATCACATTGTGAAGAGAATCACAATGTATATATACATCATGATATATATTATTGATTTGTTGTCCAGGCCTAAGTGAATGTTTGATCATTTAGAGCAAAAGATGAGTATCGGGTAAAAAAAAATCTTCCAACGTCGATAACTGGAAGTCTGAACTGGAAGCCACTTTCTGAGTTTTGGTTTTTATATCCTAAATGCAGGATGTGTATATTGTGGTATCGTTTACAGTCTTTGAGTGTGTTGAATGTTTTTTAGAGTCTGTTTACACGGCAGCGCCACATGCAGCAGAGGCTTTGAACCAGAAGCCGCAGAGGAAGTGAAGTGAAAGTGGAAACTCCTGGGCTCAAGGACGGCGTGTCGGAACAAAGGGAACCACCGAGTCCTTCTCCGTCGCCCCGAGGAGCCGAGGCTTCAGCCTCCTCATGACTCATCAGCAGCATCATGATGATGAAGTATATCGCTGCCAGTTTCATGTTCACGTTCGTCCTCCTCCTGAACGAGACGCAGAGCTTCATAACAAGCAGCAGCAGCTGCAGGAAAATCCCTCTAACGAAGCGTTATCGGATTAGAAGATGAAGGTGGAAAGCAGGCAGGTTGAGACAGAGGAGAAGGAGAAGAAGAAGAGGAGCGGTTCAGCGTCAGCACGAAGACGCTTTCAACCCAAAAACCAACAACATGGACGACGTTTCCCCACACTGCCAGGACAAACTGAAATCTTGACAGTTATTCTCAGATTAAAAGAAATAAAGAAACTGATTTTCTGACTTAATGCAACGTGTTTTACAGTGCTTGACTTGATTAAATTTTAACAGAGTTATAGCTGGATCTGTAATCAATCGCATTTTAAGCAAAAAATATATATCAGCAAAATAAGCAGCATTCTCTTTTTACTGCTAAATTATTGAATAAAGACTGAGATTAACATCAGATATTTATGGCTTTTAATCTGTTTTTCAAATATCAGTTGAAGCAAAGTTCATCTTTCCAGAGCTGCTTTAGAAATCTGGACATTGGCTACATGCTACATGTTTAGCATTCTGATGCTATTTTAGGCTAGCATAGCTTCACTGCTAGGCTAACTCCCTTTAGCACAACTTGAATCTTTTCCATCCTCCAATCAAGTTGCTTAGAAGCAGAAATTAACCCCTGGTGTGACCAGAGAAGCGGCTTTGTTGTGTTTTCATTCTGACTGGACTCTGAGAATCACCCCAGCGCTCCCAGTCGTCTCACCTTGGCCCATCGGTACCGTCGTACGCTCCCACTGTGACGTTACGGAAAAGTTTCCTCTTGGCCTTCTTGCTGCGCGTCTCTGAAACATCCAGAAGAAACCAACGTCCAATTAAAGCCATCAGCTTCCGTCATGTTTCTGTAACCCATCAAAAAACTAACATTTATTTACACCCTGCTGCTGTTCTCAGCGTGGGAAAACATTTCCTTTCCAGGGATAAATGCTTCGGTCCTGGGATAGACCAAGAGATGTTTTCTGGGTGATTTATATCTAATGTTGTGACTTCAGGTTCTGGTGGAAAATTTTGAAACATCTACAAGATAATCCAAAACTGATTTTCAAAGTGGGGGCCGCGGTCCCCTGGGAGGTCGCCAGGTGGCGCTGTGGGGCCTCTGAAAGTTTAGGGGGGAAAAAAACCAAACTGTTTTTAATCTTAAAGTTTTTCATCATAATTTTAGTTTTCTGTCTTTTAATAATGATTTATATAAACTGTACATTCAAATAACTGATTTAAATTATATTTGATTGAATGCCAGTCAAATTCACCAAAGGAAAAAAATTACATAGAACATGAGTAAAAAGTCCTGATAAGAAAAAATGTAAGATCTGTGATTAACGTATTTAAGGCCAACTTACGTTTTAAAAAAGAATTTAAGACTTTTTAAGACGTTAAGGATCTGCTGATTCCTTAATGAGCTCATCAGGAAATGACACCATGAGTATCAGATATTTAACTTTTTTTTATTATTCTTAATTTCCTATCAGTGTGAAACTATTAAACAATGAAAACAGTTTTTTATTTTTCAGATTTAAATGAATTAAACACATTTGGTTTCCTTCCGGGTTATGTTTGCAGCAAGCCGCAGACTGAGCGATGATTCAGACTCATCATGTGTGATTTTACCCTTCTCTCTGCTGGGCGGCGCCACTTCCTGCACGCAGTCGGAGGGAAACCAGCCGGTGCGTCCTCTCGCCGTTCCCTCCCAGTAGCCCCCCTCTCCCACGCTCAGCACTGAGGAACAAACATGCTGATGTTTATACAAGCATGGACAAACATTTACAGCACATGTACATGCAGGCAGAATGTAGTTTACGTTGATCAGACCCCAACCGTCCAATCTAAAGACAAATGATCTGTTTAGACGTTTCATAAAAAGCCCAGAGGAATCTAATAGTTGGATGTTTATCTGAAAAATCAACACAGCATAAACATAAACAGCAGACTTTCCTTCATTAACATCATGAGCAAATATATATTTTTAAGTGAAACTCCGATTAAAAAGCTGACTGGTGGAGCGTTCCCCGCCCCCTGCTCTTTAAACGCCGCGGTTTCAGCAGCATGCAGTTTGCATCTGTAGAGGGTTTAATTCATAATCTGGGAGGTCTAAGTTCTGCTTTTGGGAAGTTTCCACATCTGTGAAAGCAAAACCCCACCCCTGAGAAATTTAGAAAGCTTCCACCAAAGTGGGCGGAGTCAATATACAGCGAGGGTGTGGCCTAATGTGTGGATGGGTGGAGCACCAACTTAATGACTGTCGCTGTATTTAGTAACTTTAAAGGTCCTTTGTGCCTCTTTTATTAATGTTTATCGAAACAACATTATTGTTTGTTGCGATAACTTCTGGGAGGATTTATCATCCAGTAACATTTGTTCCTGTGACAGGCCTAATAATGCTTTACTGTCCTGCACAGAGACTCATTACTTCCCCTGTTAGCTTTTATAAATCCGTCTCTCTGCTCTTATTGTTCAAAGATGGTTTCTGTGATGGATTCTACTGTAAATCTGCTAATGACATGCAGCGACAAACACTGAGATCATTATAAAGTCCCTGCGCTGATGAATCATCCTCCACCGGCTGAAGGATCCTCTCTCTGTATTCTTCTGTTTCCTCACCTTTTACTTTGTCGCCTTTGTTAAGTGAGAGTTCTCTGTCTCCGCCGGCGGAGTGAGAGCGGATGGCGACGTAAACCCGGCCCGGCACCGCGCTGTACATCCGCTTCATCTGGCCGCCGCCCGGCGCCGCGCTGCGGGTCAGACAAACGCTTACTGGACCGAACCACAGCGTCTCCACAACTAATTCTCCAGATTTTTCATTTAAACATTTATATCTTTATATACAATAAATAAAGATGTATGTAAATAATTCAATTCTTCCTTTGTAAGTCAGAAGATGAACGATGTATTTCCTAAAATGCAGAAACTGCTTCCCTTCAGTGAACGGCAGGTTATTTGTAGCAAAGGACGAAGTTTCAGATAAAACATTTAGACACTTAACTTCTTATTTTCTAGTTCAACCTTTAAACCGATCAGATGAGATTTCTGTCTGGAACTAATTAATGTTTGTGCTTAAACCCATCTAGCCTCACTTTGTCATGTTTTACACAAAGAAACTGGACACGAATGTAGCAACTTCCTTTCAAAAAATTGACTACCAACAACAGTAGCAACTTTTTCTCTCTTTACCCCTGCCGGCCTCTGGGCTGCCGGTGCCGCTCCTCCGTATCGCTCTGGCCTCCTCTGCCTCTGGACGGGGACCGGGTTCGGTTCCGGGGGCTGCTGGAGCTCCTGACCCCGATGGAGGCCCGGCGTTGGCCCTGCACAGATGCTCCACATCAGTCGAGACAGAGATGGGCCGGGCGGACCAGCTGAGCGGTGTCAGTACCTGCCCCGGGTTGGTGGCGGCCTTGGCGGGGAGGATCAGCGGGTCGGAGCCGGTCATGGTGTTGTCGCTGTTGGCGCGCAGCAGAGGGTGGGAATGGAGCGGCGGGAGAGGCAGCGTGTGGACGCTCTCCTTTCGCCTGGGAACAAACTTTGGTGACTCTAAAAAGGGAACTGATGATGTGACACATGAGGGGGAGGGTTTTATGGACGGACCAGGCGTCAGGTGAAGCAGGTCAGGAGGAAACATGAGTTAGAGAGCGGTGTAGCTAAAGTACATATGAGAAAGTTTATTTGGTGCTTTTGTAAAGTCAAAATTAAAACCAATGATTTGGATTATTTAGCCTGTCAAAATAAGAGTTCATATTTACACCATCCATTTGTAAGTGTCGCATTTCTATAACGTTTTCATTAGCAAGCTAAATGATTAGCTATAAACTAAACATGTAGTTAGCAAGTAAATGTGAAGCTAAACATTTAGCTTGAAACTGTGACATTTATAAATTAATGAATAACATGGTGAAAATATGGTTTTATAAATGAGCCTGGATCTTTTTTCTCTTACTTCCGGCTCAATAACCCAAATTACTGATTTTAAATTTCGACAGAGTAACTTTCCTGGAAACGTACCAACATCCGTGTCTTTATGGTTTTTAATAATCTCTCCAAGCTCAAAGTGACCCGACATCACAGCTACCTGCAAACAGAAATCAGACCAATCAAAAAACCTTTTCTGATTAAAGTCACACTCACTGGCCACTTTATTAGGTACACCTGCCAGTTGCTCATCAGTTAGCTCAGTCTTGTAGCAACAACTAACTGCTTCAGAGATGCTAAAGATAAAACCTGAGACCTTGTTGGATTAATGCCATGAAGAATTAAAGTCTGTCTGGAGGCCATCAGCTCTCACCTGATAAGGTCGTTTACCTGAAAAGGAGTCTGGCCGTGTTTGTTCTTCGCCTCCTTGTTGGCCCCCCGGTACAGCAGGACGCGGACGCAGCTTTCCTGAACCGGACAACAATCCACGCTGTAAAACTCTTCGCCTTCACAACGTCTCCGCTCTGGCTTGTTTCACGCTCACCTTGTTGTAGAGCGCTGAAATGTGAAGTGCAGTGTTCCCTGAGGCGTTTTGAGAGGCCGTGTCCGCTCCATAAAACAGCAGATGCTCCAAGTGTTGAGCAAAGCCGTTCTGGCAAGCCTTTTAAAGTCAGAAATATGAGCAAACTGTTAGTGTTACGAGTGCAAACAAAAACAGGTTGACCCAAGAGAAGCAGCCATAAAGATCAACTGTAAATTATACATCTGACGTCCTCGTTTACATTTAAATTACAGCTGAGGCCAAACAGGAAACAGAAAATCAGCTCCGGTTTCCTCGCATGCAGGGGTGTCCTAACCTTTTGCCTCTTGGGCCAAAATTGTTCAGTCAAAAGAAATTATGAATGTTTTTATCACAGAGACAAACAGAAAAAGAATTTTGCTGCATTGAAAGAAATAACATTAGTTTTCAAATTTTCTGGCTCAAACAAATTTATCCTCAGATATAAAAACTTTGGGTCATCCTCTTTCAAAACACGTCAATAATTTCAACAAAAGTAAAAGTTTCTCAATGTGATTTGTATTATAAAAGCTGGATCATAACGAGACAAATGGTTTAAACCAGTAAACCATTATACAAACAATGCATATTAATGAACACATCGTGTAAATATGACACATTTAGCCAGAGAGGCTCATTTTAATCTCCTAAAAAATTACAACTAACATCCAGAACAACATGATTTATGAAGTACAGAAAACTATCATGATTTACATTAAACATTTAGAATAAAAGAAAAAGTCACAACTGTAAGAAAATAAATTATGTAAAAAAATATTCAATTTGGAGGCTGAACAAAAAAATGACTGAAAATGTTTTTTCTAATGGCTGCACAATTTAACTCATTCCTACGCTGTGTTCAGGGGCCACAAGAAACTACTCCAAGGGCCGCAAATGGCTCCCGGGCAACACTTTGGACACCCCTGGATTAGATCAAAGCAGATTCTTTAAGTGTGACGGCCTAGTCAAAGTCTAGACCCAAATCCAACTAGCAGTGTGTGGAAAAGGCTTGAAAATGACTGTTCACTCGGTAAACCTGAGTTTCCGAGTCTGCAGACGAGCAAACCAAAGCTGAGACGTTCTGTAAATGCACGCCACACTTTCTAGAAAACATTTCCTCCTACTTCACAGATACTGAGTCGTTTCTTTGTGTTGGTCTGGCACATAAAGTCTGTGGCTGTAACGAAACAAATGTGACAAAATTAAAGGTTTGTGAACAATTTAGCAGAAATATTTCTGTCAGCAGGAGCCGCGCCGGGCTGAAGCAGAACGGAAACACTTCTGCTCATGTGGATGATCAGAACGTCAATCACTTCCTGACTGGAGGGACGGTGAGACGGAGGAATGAAAGGTACCTTATGGATTTCTTCCATTCCAAACTCCTCTTCATCCCTGTGCTATGGAGAGAGGAGGAAGAGGAGAGAATGTGGGAGACGCACAGATCAGATGGCGGTGCATCGCTTCACTTAACGGAAAATGTTTTCAGGAGACCTATTATGCTAAATTCACTTTTTGCTCGTTTTTGTTTTTCCATTTTGGTTTCTAAGGCTTCTAAAAAAAAACTAAACTCTCAGCCATTTTCTGGCAGTAAGTTCATGTTTTGTGGTGGAAAATGAGGCACTTCAAAAACCTTTGGAATATTGAATCACATTCCACAGGAACAATGCCATTACCTAGCAACCCCAGCCACGCCCAGCCCGTTACCTAGCAACCCCAGCCACGCCCATCCCGTTACCTAGCAACACAAGCCACGCCCAGCCCGTTACCTAGCAACCCAAGCCACGCCCAGCCCGTTACCTAGCAACACAAGCCACACCCAGCCCGTTACCTAGCAACCCCAGCCACGCCCATCCCGTTACCTAGCAACACAAGCCACGCCCATCCCGTTACCTAGCAACCTGGAATTCCAGCAAATTTGGCCGGCTGGTTTTACTTGTAAGTTAGTTTTGTCTTATTTCAAGTGTTCTAGACCAAAAATACTTGGTAAGAGATTTTGGTGTTTTTGCTGTGAAGATTTAAAATCCATTTCAGCTGGACTGCCTTGTTGTTGAAATGTGCAAATAAACTTGATTGAATATAAGAAAAAGACAAACCCTGAAAGGAAATCTATAGTGTAAAATTCACATTTTGCTTGTTTCTGTTCTTCTAATTTCATGTTTTCTGGTGTTTGGAAAATGAGCCGATTCAAAATCCTCCAGAATGCAACGTCACAAATCAGCAGGCACTGCCTGTTACCTAGCAACCAAAGCCAAGCTCCAGCTGTATTTGCTGCATAATGGCTGCTGGAAAAAACAAGAGTTTGTGGTTGACTTGCCATCCAGAAACCACTTGCTGCATTCTTGTTAGTTGTGCAGGAGGCTCCATTTCTGCTTTTCAAAGATGCACGGTTGTACAACGATGTATCTGTTTGCAGCCATTTTGACATGCGTGTGTAAATGTTGTGTTGGGGGTGGGGCCAGCAGCAGATTATTGGATTTAAAGTGACAGGAGGCCCTAAAACAACTAAAATCTCATCATCTAAGAAAGATTTTGTGCAAAACATGCTTTGTGTAGGCCTATCTTACACTGTTAGATCTACCCTAAAGCATAATAGGTCACCTTTAAGACAAACACATAAGACACAGAGGCAGAAAGCTGATTGGCTGGACGGAGCTACCTGATGGCTCTCGTCCCAGCCGTTCTCGTCCCTGGTGCCCAGCTTCGCCCGGTAATACAGCAGCGTCTCGCAGCAGGACGTTTCGCCCCCTGTCAGCACAGTGTGGTACAGCGGGGTCAGGCCACAGCGGTCCTTGTAGTCCGGAGACGCTCCGAGTGACAAAAGTGCCTGTTGAGGACAGGACAGAGGGACGAAGACGACGATGAGACGCTTCTCTAGAGAGAAAACTCTTTCTCACATGAGCCAAATCTGCTGAGTCAAAAGAACTCACAGGACAAGAAATTAAAAAATAAAATAAAATAAGGCAAATAAAGTAGTCCAGTTATTCATCCTTAAAGAGACAGTATCTTGTAAAATTTACTTTTTTGAGCTTTCTGTTGTGTTGTAAACTTATTCCTTCATCAAAAGCAAACCTGCAGTGTTGCTTTGATACATTCATGTTTGAGAAATCCTATAATCTCCATGGCAACCACTCATCGGTGCAAAACGCCTGGGTGGACCTAGCTCCACCTTCAAGGCGCAGCTCCGCCCCCACTCTGTTCCTTCAGACAAGCCAGCAGCAATTAGCAAACTCCTGAGCTCATAGGAGCTGGGGTTGTTCTGTGTATGTGTGTGTGTGTGTGTGTGTGTGTGTGTGTGTGATGTTCTAACCAGCAGTCCGGCGTGGTTGTGAGCTCTCACAGCTTTGTGCAGCGCCGTCATGCCATCGCGGCTCCTGAAGTCCATGTGGGACCCGCCCAGAACCAGCAGCCGGACGCCGTCCACCGGCAGGCCAGACTGCACTGCCACTGACAGCGGTGTCTCTGGAAGAAAAATAAAACATATTTCACATTTCGTAACAACTCTGAATACAGATCATGCCACACCTTTCAGATTTTTATCAGTAAATCACCAGAATCTCACCTCCGCTGTCAGGGTCATGAAAATTTGGATCCAGACCTTTTTCCAGAACTTTTGCCATTTTTTCCATCACTCCAGTCTGGACGTATTCCAGAAACTTCTTCTGGCTGGCCTGCATGCAGAGCCATGTTACAGACCGCTGGGCAGCTGCTGTCAGACACGATTAAGAACTGAAGAAGAAGAAATACCTTGGTGCTGAGCTTAGCCAGAGCCTTCTCATCCAGGTTGGTCTGTTTGTAAACTCTGGTTTTATACCGAAACTGAGGGCAAGAAAACATCAGATGTGTGTGAAAAATGTGAGTCATGTCTAAAAAAAATCTACTTTTCAAACTGTGAGCCTGGTTCATGAAGACAAAATGGCCGCTATTCCTGTGTGCTGCAGCGCATCTCTGCTTCCCACTCAAAGCTGCCAGAACAGGACTGTGATTCATTTCTTCAGTCACATTTAGACTCATTTTTGGGAAGAAAAATAACTTAATCACATGAGTTTCTTAGTCTGTCATGATGACAAATTTTACTGGACGATAATCTGTCTCAGAAATTATTGTGATAAAAGATAATATTGTCATTTTGAGACCATTTTAATACTATAAAGTACTATGTGTACATATATTTTAGAAAATATACAGAAAAGCTGCTTTGTTTTTGATGATTTGACGATAAACTTGTTTCTATCGTCACATTGTTTCATTCCACACTTTGTGTGCTTGTCATTGAGACAAATTAAAATATTTATCTAATCTGTACTACTTTTTTATTTTTTTCAGTGTTGTGTATTTTTTTCCTTTCATTTTGACTTTCAAAAGATAAAAAAACGACAGAAAAAATGAAAAACCGTGAACTTGAACTAATAATGATGACATAATAATGCAAGTAAACTCACTTAAAGACCAAAGAACTTTAATGTCTAAACAATATTTAACACTAGAACCAGAAATGCATTTTTAATATCCAAAATAAACAATTAAAATGGATTAGGAAGTCTCTGTCATCAAAATTGCCTTTCAGTTTTGACAAGGAAAACAGGCAAAAGGGGCAGGAAGTGCAAGCTATTTAGTTCGTGCTTGATGTCAAATGTTTGCAGCATTTCTTAAAATGGCGGATCTTCAACAAAATTAAAAGGGAGCATCTCTTTAACAAATGTCCAAATGAAAATGAATGAGCTCATTTTAATGTCATCATCTAAATAATTGATTTATTGGTGATTGTGGCAAGCTAATGAGTTTGTAATTAAATGTTTTAACATTTCTATTCAGTAAATTCCCATATTTGTATCTAATTGGAACAACTATCTAGAACTTGCAGAACATTTTTAAATGGAACCGGTACCTGGAAATTATTTTTATTTAGGTAAATATCTCAGTAATAATAGGTGTAACCGTCTGCACAGCAGGATCAGACTCACTCATATTTAATTCTAAAATCATTTAAACAACTACGCATGTTGGATAAATAAGAAACCTCCAAACAAAACTTTTATTTTAATAATATCTAATGCCGAATGCATCTCAAAAACTCAAATTGTGTGTAAAGGGTTCACCCAGACAAAGCAGAATATTACTGAGTAACAAGGTTTGAATCTATGAGCTTATTTGGATCCTGGTTAGTGGATCTGGCTCAAACCAGAACATCCACCAGATGGCGCTGTGGGCTTTACAAATGCAACTTTATGACTTCTCTGCTGACCAATCACCCAAAAACTAATAAATGTAATACTCTGCATTTTAAATACGTAAATTGGATAATATGAGACAAAATACACAAAAACATAAAAATTAACAGATTTATCTCTTGGTTTTTCTGAAATTCTGAGCCTGAAGGTAAACTTGGGCCTGTTTTCTTGATGCTTCAAAGATTATTTCTGCATTTTTAAGATAATTTTTAAGGCATAATAACTGCTGCTTATATTAAACTAATAAACCAGAAAGGATCTGTTTACATTTACAGAATACAACCAGCTCCAGGTCTGTATCAAAGAATTTCTGGTTTATTATATTAAAGCGTGCTTTTTGTCAATTAAAAAAATAATTTTCATTCATCTAAACTTTCACTCACTGCCTCAGCTGAGGTCAGAGGTCACGATTTAACAATAAGAAAGGGAAACATTTGAGAAAAGGAACATCATGCAAGGAGCTGGACAACCATCCACAACTAAGTAATTAATAATCACATATAATAATAATAATAATAATAATAATAATATTAATAATGTAATGAGGTAATAATGTAATTATGTACATTTCTTTTTTTTTTCTTTAACCTAGTAGGTTATGCATTCCTTGGATTGGAGTGCACCGCTTCTGATCAATGTTAAAATTTTGTCCTAACTGTTAAATTTAGTTTTTAAATATATTTTAAAACTTGAATCTTTGTGTGAACCTACATGCATCTATGTCCTGTAAAAGTTACTGAACATTGATTCACCTTTAATAGTGAAATTCAAAGCATTTACCATCTTCAGAGCAGAGTTGGATAGCAACTAGTTACATTTACTCAAGTTAAATTTATTTCAGTAACTTTTGGAAAAAATACTTTTATGAGTATTTTTCTTGTACCCACTGTGAGTAATTAAAAAGTCATCAGACACATACCTGCAGTTTTTCCTAAATTTTATGTTGAAAGAAATATAAAACCTACAAAATATTTAAAGAAATTAGAAAAAAAAAATCCTGACTTTATTTTGTAATTGTTATTCATATACTATTTTTATTTTGGTTCTTAAAAATACCAAAATTTCCAAATAACTTTATGTTTTGGTCCGTGTGTGGTGTAATTTTTAAATACTAAATGATTGATAATTTGATCAGTTCCTCAGTACGTGAGTAGATTTTTACCAAATACTTTTTTTGGTCGTTTAAGAGTTTTGATTCTGAGTAACCTCAGTCTTTACCTCGAGGTAGGGAACCCCTTTCTCAAAGGTGCGTGCATAGTCCCGTAGGGGGCGCTCCTCCTCCAGGAACTTGGCATCTCGTCCTTCTCCAGCCGGCTGGAAGAGTCCGTAGTTGTAGACGTCCCACAGGGACTCACCAAGCGAACAGATGATCTGCTGCTTGGCGCTCCACACGGTGCAGTCCTGGTCAAACTGGAGGCATCGCTGACGCACACACACACACACGCACACACACACACGCACGCACACACACACACACACGCACATGCACACAGTGGAGGGGTTCAGTTTTATAGACATGGTGCAATGTGACATCACGTGTGCAAAAAGCTGGTTGCTGATGACAGGCGTTGGTTTTAACTATTAAATTGTCAACATAAGGCACTAAATCTTAAATGTACACAACATAAAAAAGGAAAAGGGACTCAGTCCTTTGCTATTGTCATCACTACGACAACCAGATATGGTCAGGAAAAAGTTTTAATTTAAAAAAGAGAGGGAGAGAAAGAGAAAGAGAGAGAAAGAGAAAGAGAGAAGTAGGTCAGTAATGCTAGCTTGACTTTGACAACCTTAACATGTAGATATGCTGCAGAATTCAGTGTTTTGGTTCAGTTTGAAACAAAACCGACCCACAAACCAACTCTGCCAGATCATCAGTAGAACAGGTGTTTAAATCAGCTGATTTGCTGTGTTCAGAAGAATCCAGCCTAAAAACGTATTACTGTAATGGACTGACCTACTTTCAGCGGTGGTTATCAACCTTTTATTCATTAAATGGAACTTAATCAAATTTTATTATCTTTAATATATTTTATTTTGGTATGTTATTTTGCTTCAATATATCTTGTTAATTTATTGTTACATTTTAATGTATTCATTTATTTAACCAGGTGTTGCCAAACAATCATTTCATTTAATTTCACTTTACTTTATTTAGCATATTATCTGATTATATTTCAGTCAAACAGTTTTTCACACTAAATATTAATATTTAAACATAAATGTGTCCATAGTTGTTATGTTGTTGTTAACTACTGATGTGTAAATGTGTGAATCATCATGACAGCTTGTGATGAATGAAAGAAAATATTATCTCTGCAGAATTTAATGTGATTTAAATAATTAACTACCATACCATATTTCTATAAAACTGCTGTTATCCTTTTGTTTGGTGCAGTGAAGTTTTTTATTTTCACACTACATTTATTACAGTGTTAGAATACAGAGGAGCAGATATGAATGTTTATCATTTGTTCTGTATAGAAAGTGTCAAATTAACACCAACTCCTACAAGGAAAACAAACTGCTGTAGAAAATATCTCATTGTTATTTTCTGGCCTCAGATGTTTTCTGTGTTCTGCCTGAACTTATTGAATTCCAGTTTTCTTTTCTTGAAAAAATGTCAGTAAACATTTGACTTTTCAAACTCAGAAAGTTTCAAGATTTCTGTAGAAAATTTCTCAGAATCTCAACATTTGATTTTTTTTTTTTTTTTTTTTTTTGCATTTCCAAGTTTTCCAGAAAATTTATCAGATCTCTCGCTCTTTTTTTTCTTTTTTTAAATTAAAATTGACCCTAACATGCCGTCTGGTGGACAGACCCTTGCAGCTGTTCTGTTTCATCAGTTCTGATGGTAAAACTGCACAGCTCAGCATCGCTCTCATAGTATGACCAAATTTATTGGCATGGCAACCATTTCATTAGTGGAGGCAGGCAGCCGTTGCTGTAGTGATGCCTCCCAAGTCCCTTGGAGGTATGCGGTGACGTGCCTGAGCCTGTGTGCTTGTGTTTGAAAGAGATGCAATGTGTTTGTGGGAACAGTGTGTGTATGAAAGAGGTAAAGTGCGTTTGTGGGGACCGGGTGTGTATGAACAAGGTAAAGTGTGTTTACGGGGACCGGGTGTGTATGAATGAGGTATCGTGTGTTTGTGGTGACCGGGTGTGTATGAATGAAGTATCGTGTATTTGTGGGGACGATGTGTGTTTACTTCTGATGGTCCATACTGACGACGCAGCCTGGATGTCACAGTGACACCTTCTGCAGCACTGTAATCTAATTGGAGTGCATCTTTTCCTTCCTGCCTTTTCTTCAGGAATATATGTAGACTGAAGAACAACAGAAACCCTTGGCATGTTTCTCATTCCTCGGGTCTCCCCAAACTCATTAAAACCCTATTAGATAATTAGCAATTACTGTTATATTGAGGGCAGATTAGCTGACATGTAGAACGCTGCGCATGTTGAGGGAGTTGGAAGCAGAGTGGGTGGAGCTTCATCACCTTGCTGCAGCTTGTGTGTGGGCTTGCCAGTTCTCACCTGCTGCCAGCTGCAGGAAGTGTGAAGTGATGCTAACTCCAGATGTGGGAGCTAATTGGCTGTGAGTGACCCACGCAGGTTCCAACATTGCCATGTTGAATGATGGAGTCACTTCTTCCCTGCTGCTGATGTTCGCTCTGCTTTCCATTTGCTTTTTTGGGAATGTGAGGAGATTTCACACAATAAACTGATGTTTACACACCTGGTGTAAAAAAATAATTTTTTTCTTTTTGTTAAAGAAAAGAAAGTATCAGAATATTTCTCTATGTTTTCTGAAAATTATTAGAATTATTTGGGTAATCCTAACCAACCGATGGACGGATAAGAAGGACGGATGTATGTACCCCATCAAATGATGGCTGTTTGTTTATGGATTACCAATTTTAAAATCCTTTAAAAATCTGATAAACATAAAGAACAAATACTTGCTGGTGCCAATATTTATGCAGCTCTGCTAAATGTGGGATTTTTTGTCAAACTAAACATTAACATGTTTTTATCCTCCTGTACTAAATGATCTGAATTTTTGCAGGTTTGTTTTTGTCTTTTAAATGACTGGATGTTAATGTGTGATGAATATTACTGTGCAGCAGCTGTATTAATATTTGTTAAAGTGTCAAGTTAAACTGAATCTTTCTCTGAGGCAGTAATACCAGAGAGACTCGGCTTGAACTACTTCCTCTTTTGGAAAGACCTCCAGTCAGCGGCCTGCTTGTGACGGGACCAAACTTTAAACACGTCTTTAACTCAGATTTTGGTTTTAAAGATACACCGATCCAATATTAATTTCTGTATCAGTCCCAATATATAAAAAAATTCTACATATCAATAACAATGTGCCTGATCCATAAGGGCAGATCAATTCAGTCTATTTCTATGCTTTATGCTCTGATCGATATCATGCTTTATTATTTTTTTGACATTAGATTTAGAATGACTAATTGTTGCAGTTTGTTTACATGTTTGACCAAAGTAGTCAAGGTAGTCAACCTGTTGATCTCATCAATTTCCTGTTTTACCCACAGTTTTCACTCCACAGTGAAATGAGGTACAGTGGTGAAACCTTAAACTGCTGCAACAGATTGTGCAATTTCCCCTTAACCAAAGTCAGGGGGAAATTGACCCAGCAGGTTGTTGCTAGGTAACCAAAGTCAGGGGGAAACTGACCCAGCAGGTTGTTGCTAAGTAACCAAAGAATGAATGAGTTAGTTGATTCCACCAATCTTGATAATTATGTATTGAATATTCTATCAGTTGTATTATCTAATGATATTATGTCTTTATTGGAGTAGATATTATTGACGTATTGCCCATTGTCTATGTTTAAAAAAGAAATGTCTTATATCAGTTCAGCTCTTTCTTGGTATCGGATAGGATGATATATCAGTATCAGAAGTGAAAAAGTGGATTGGTGGATCCCTCGTTGTTTTGGACCCGTTTTGGTTCTGATGCACTTACTGTCTGTTTGATGTCAGGGATCCCGATACGGAACACCATCATGGTCAGGAAGGCATCTTCATGAGGCGCCATGGCGGTCATGCTGCGCTCCATTAGCGCTCGACGTTTTGCCGCCATCAGGTGTTGCTGCTGCAGCTTGTTGACAGCGTGGTGATGCGTTTGTGCCTGATTGGACATGTGGGCAACGCCCCGGTTGTCCAGGTTACCGGGTCTCAGCGGTCGGTCCATTCTCTGTCTGCCAACCACAATGGCCGCTGGTTTCACTGCCTCGCCGCCCTTCCCTTCCCAGGCCTGGCGTCCGCCAATCATTTCCTTCCCCCCAAGTCCTTCTAGTCCTCCGTTCTCCCTGCTCCACTGGCCTTCGTCACTTCCTCGCCTTTGCTCTTCTTCTTCCTCCTCATCCTCCCCATCTTTGTCGTCCTGACTAGAATAAAAATGCTCATTATTTCCCAGCATCCTTTGCTGTGCAGGTGGTCACTGCAGAGAGGGCTGAGTGATCTAGCTGTCATGGGGACAAAACATGGCTGTCCCATGAGAGCGGCTCCGTCCGTGGGAACATGCTGTGGAAAACAGGCAGAAAATGGAGTCAACTTCGACTCCTCATTCACAAACAACATCAAGTCAACAAAATTAGCAACGGTGTAAATCAAACGTGGAAAAGACAAGAGCAATAGTAGCAAAACTAGCCAGTGGCAATGTTAATAAGTCCACATGTGAAGTAGCACAGAGCTGGTCCACATTTCCCATTTAGCCAGTAGGAATGCACCGGGGAGCAGCAGGCTGATGGAAGACAGGCTAAATATAAACTCTGTGAATTTGCATCACAGGTTCTTTGCAGAAGAGAGTGAGGTGGATGTGCAATCTGGGATCACACGAGGTCAAGATCATTCCTGCTTGGTGGTAATGGAGAAGCCAAATGGAAAATAAACATATGATGATATTCATTATATTCTATGGAACGGTTTCAGCCGAGGTCATTCTGTCCCTGGAAGGAAACAAAATCCTGACTTCCATTTTTCCTTTGGCCAGAAGTCTAATGACCCCCTACCGGCAACCTGGTGACCCCTACCGACAACCCCCTAAAAATACACATAATTATTTTCCTCCATTCATTTAAAGGGGCAGTATTATTTGTTTTCCAGGAACATAATTCTACTTTATAGCAAAATTGAGTAACTATGGTACTTCTGTCTCTTTAAAAGCTACTGGTTTTTCTGAAGCTCCGCCTCCAGGAAATCATCCCAACATGGCTACTCTATCAACCCTATAACAATGATTTTACCAGCGTTGCTCTGAGCAGCAGCTCCTATTATGAGTTCAGGCATTTGCTAATTGCTGCTGGCTAGTCTGAAGGAGCTGAGCGGGGGAGGAGCTCCACCTTGAAGGCGGGGCTGAATGGTTGCCATGGAGATTAAACGCTTTCTCAAACATGAATGACATAATCAAGGCAAAACTCCAGGTTTGTTTTTGATGAGGGAAAAACATAACACCACCAAGGAAAGATTAAGAAAAAAGTCAATTTTATAGAATACTGCCCCTTTAAAAATAAACCGTGGTAAATAATTACAACGTACATTACTGTTCATTATTTAATAGTACATGTATTTTCTTTCATGATGTATTTATTTAATTTTTTCTGTTTTGGCCGTTGACACCCCTCATCACTACGAATCTGAAAATAATTTAGAGACCCTCCACTTAGTCTCTTGGGACCCCTGCAGGGGCTCAAACCCCCACTTTGGGAACCCTTGGTCTAAGTGAAGGTTTCTTCGCTCCGCTTCCTGCTTGTTTCAACCCACATCGGAAAATCTACATAAAAGTTTCTAAAGGGGAAAAAAAAAAGAGTCAAACTCTGGGAAGCTTCACAATAACGATCAAGATGTCTCTAACTGAAGTAAAAACATTATGTAAGGTAAAATAAAGTATTTTTGCTCCCACTCAGTATAAATAACACCGTTTACACAGCCTTACAAAACTTGAGCATTTGTCACATTACAACTTCAAACCTCAGTGTATTTTATAATGATTTAATATTCTGGACAAAGTATAGTTGTGTGAACGGAAAGTTTTCAATGTTCTTTAATAAAAAAATTTAAAAAGTGTGTTATGAACTGGATTAAGCCACCTTTACTCTCATACCGCTAAATGCAATCCATTGAAGTGACTTTGAACACACCTAACATCCCAATTATGAAATGTGATGGTGGCAGCAGCATACTATGGGAATGCTTTTCTTCCCATTGCGCCCCCTGCTGTTAAACTAGAATAGTGCGAAATTCCCTGCAGCTAATTGAGACCAAGATGGGTAGAAATTATTGCATTTCATCTGCCCTTTCAACGCCAACTATGAATTCTGTTTTTATGAAAGTTTACAGTTTTCAAAACAAATTGTAAACTGAAGGTATGGATCCGTTTGTTTTATTTACTCAACTCATGTCATTGAGAATTGATCTTGCTGTGAACAAAATGGCTTCAGTATTCCAAGTCCAGCCCAGCCACTGCGGTTTCGGCCATGTTTTCTAATCATTTGTCCATGTAAGATTTATCCCATCCACAAATTCCAATTTGGTAGCATAATTTAAGTTTATCGCTTAGTAATAAATAGTTGTAATATCCTGACAACATGCTAGCTAACGTTAAAACACCAAGTTAACGATGGGTAACCATGGCAACCGGTGACACCTTAAAGGCACTCTGGCTCTTTGAGCTCCCATTGGCCGTTTTGATTAACACATAATCCCTCTATGTGAGCCTGAAGTGAGAAACTGCTGTGTTTTGGTTTTCGGCCGTTTCCATAGCAACCTGTCTGAATACAGCTGGACATGCTAGCGGTGCCTGCAGCTAGCATTCCTCAGTTTAGAACCCTACAGCCTGATGCTGTGGTGAATATCTCAGGACGTAATGGAGGTCTCTGCTGCCTGGATGTTACCCTGTTAGCATGTCAGGACAGTCAGATTGTCCTACAGCAGGGGTGTCCAAAGTCAGTCCTGGAGGCCCGGCATCCTGCATGTTTTAGTCTCTCCCTGGTTTAGCACACCTGCATCAAATGACGGCTCGTTAGAGGCCTAAGCAGAACATTGACTTGCTGAAGAGGTTGTTACTGCCACTAGGGAGAGAACTAAAACATGTACCGGGCCTCGAGGACCGACTTTGGACACGCCTGTCCTACAGCAACAGTCTTCAGTCAGAGGCTTAAAGTCATTGCCAGACTGACTGCTGCTGGAGATCCTTCCAGTCCACAGCATCACCATCCACAAAGACTCTGAAGATACTTGGATGATATAAATTATGACATTTAAACAATGTTTGATAAAGCTGCAGCTTCTATGCACCACAAATCTGGAACAAACCAGAAAACTGAAAAACAGCCGAAACACTGAGTTCCTTTAAATCCAGACTGAAACCAGCTGGTAGAGCTGCACATCACTGGAACACTGACTGACATGTTGAAGATGTTGATGATTTTGATGGTGGGACTGGACAGAATGTGATGTTTAATGTTGGTTTCTCAGTTGGTGACTAGTTGATGCTTTTCTGACTTGTGTTTATATGATGTAAAAACCTTTGAGCTGCCTTGTTGCTGAAATATACTCTACAAATAAACGTGATCGGTTGATCAGAAGATATGGTGCACTCATTATTTTTCAGTTTATTCTGTGTAAATCTGTTTTTGCCTAAATTGCTGTTTTTGGAAGTATTTTATTCCATTCCAGCTGATGAAGTCCTGAATGTGACCTGAACTCTCCACAGTCAGGAGACAATCTTCTGTCCTTAGGACATCCAGGGGAAATATCCGTCCTGACATAACAGACGGTTGTGGATCAAGGACTCGGATGTCTTCCTGTTAACTCAGTCCAGATGGAAAATGTTGGGGAGAAACTGATTACAAGCTGCAACAGGCAGGATGTGAAGCAGCTTTAGGTTCGCTGCACATCCCATTTCACATCCTGGCGCCTGCTTGTGTCGTGTCCTGGTTTCTCTTCAGTCCGGCTGCAGGTCTGGACCGGCGCCAACGGCTGGCTGGCTGGTGAAGAGAGACGCCGGGGATCTCCCAGTATGTGACTGGCAGGCTGACGCTCTGAATCCAGGAGTATCAGAAAGCGCAGATGGACAGATGGACAGATGGACGGATGGACGGATGGATCCCGCAGAGACACAACTGGAATCAGGACAGCAATCTAAGTCATTGAGACGCTGATCGCCGCTGCTGGCAATGAGCGGCGGTGGAGGAAGTCCTGCTGAAGATGATTCTGTGACTTTGCTTCATTAACCTTCGTTAGGTTTTTGGCTCGGCCAACAACGCTGAGCTGAGAGGAAATGACAGCCAGCAGCTCAACGCTGTAAACCCCAGACTGAAATATTTAAAAGTTAGACCTTGATTCATTATTTAAAAACTTTTCCCACCTTTAATTTGATAATTGTCCTGTTAAATTCAACAGAAACAACAAATCTGATGGAAGATGAAATGGAAAAAAAAGTAAACTTGGTGGCAACTGTAAGCACACACTGAAGATAAAACATTTATGAGGCATTTTGATTTTGATTTGCAAATAAGATTATTAAAAGAGATAGCATTAATAATTTGAGAGGATCAGAGATTGTTTTAAAACCCAAAGTCAGAATAAACAAAACAAACAAAATGATGCATTTCCATTCGTCAAATAAATCTGAGGAATTATCTCTTAAAGGAAACCAAAGAGAGATGATAAATTTTTACTTTTAAGAAAATAATATAATATTCTATTAAGGTATAATGAAGTAGTTCCAGTACAGCACTGCATTCATATTCATTAAACACAACATTGATGCATCTATGGATGGTTGGTTGATGCTCAGCTGCTCATTGAAAAATAAATTTTTATGTCAACATGTTCATTTAAAACTGTAAGTTAATAAAATAAAACTAATTCAGCATCAGCTGGGCTGAAATGATTCACCATAATGACTCAATTATGAAATATTAACTAATTTAGTAATTGAATAATTGTCAACTGGAGCATACAAACTCTTTAAAAGAAGCCATTTGCTGAAATCGCTTCTTTTAAAGACGCTGTAGCTCTGGACCAGCGCCAACGGCCCGGTCCAGAGATACTGTATGCTTGGTAGGTGATTGGGTCTAAGCAAACTCCTCAAACAGGAATTTAAAAAATATGTATTTTACCCTTGCTCTTCGTCAGTTGCCACAGTTCTAGCTAATCCTCAGTAACAATAAGACTCATCATTTAGCAACTTCACAGAAGAAGCCAACACTGTCCAACTGGGTGCAGCTACATCACAGGTTATCTGGTTCCTCCTGCTGACTCGGGATATTGGTTATTACAGAATCTGGTAAAGATGAAAAAAGAATTTGGCCAAAATTGTGCAAAAAAAAATGAACATTTCACATTTAACATATAAAATATATATTCTTTCTCTGTTAATCTG